CCATCTCAAGCACCATGCGGCCCCTCCCCTTCTGGGACCTTGCTACCTCCCAGGCCACGCTGCTTAGGAAATTACCTCTTTCAACTCTGGAGGGGAAGCCTTTGTGTGCTCTCTGCTTCTGGCTAAGACATCCTATCGCATCCTAACCATTCCAAGTTTTCTCTTCCCGCACTCTTCCATTCCTCCCTTGACACACAAAGTGAAAAGACAGGTCCCCTCCCTAGTGGGTGGAAGGAAAGGTGGAAGGAGAGTGTTGTGGGGTGAATCGTGCCCCTCAAAAGATATGCTGCAGTCCTAACCCCCTACCTCAGAATGTGACCTTATTTGGAAACAGGGTCACTGCAGATGTGATTAGTTAAGATGTCACCCTGGGGTAAGGCTGGCCCCTGATCCAATGTGACTCGTGTCCTTATGAGAAGACGGCCATGTGAAGACAAGGACTGGGGGTGACGCACCCACAAGCCAAGATCTCTAGAAAGCCCCAGAGGCCGGGGAGAAGCGAGGAGGGCTCCCCTGCAGGCGTCAGAGGGAGCACAGCCCTGCCGGCATGCCAGTCTCAGGATTCGAGGCTTCACATCTATGAGACAATAAATGTCTGTTATTTTAAGCCACCCGGTTTGTGGCAGTTTCAGAAAACAAACACAGGGAGGTACAGAAAAGCACAGGTTGAGGCCTCCAAATACCACTGCTGATGGACGCAAGTTCGTGTGCCCCACACACAGTGGGGCCAAAAACAGCAAAACGTTGGAGCCCGGAGCAGAGGAGGGTTTGTTGCTGGGCTGAGCAAGGAGAGTAGGTGGCTCGTGGCCCCCAAACCGCAAACTCCCTGACAGGTTTCAGCTGAGAATTTTCAGAGGCCAGCTGAGGGAGAGGCGGCCAGAGCATGTGACCAGTTGTGCGCAATTCCCTGACTGGTTGACAGTGACCGATCCTTAGGCGCCAGGAGGTCTGGGGGCCACGTGCTCATGATCATCAAATAGTTGATTTCTTCCATTTGGTGGTGACTTTTAGCATCTGAAAAACGCAGGGAACAGGCATGTGCTACTATGATCTGAGCCCTTCAGAGAAGGGCTGCAGCGGGGGCATGGGGACGGGTCTGCCCAGGAAGGCCCCATATGGTCCTGCTCGGTCACACCACCTCCAAAATCGTGAATAAAACACCAGAAACTACTAGAGTCACTAGCAGCTGATTAGAGGGGCAGTTCACCTGGAGTTTGAAGACGAGGTAAAGGACGAGTAAGAGGAACCGATTGGGAGGGAATGGAGTTGCCTTTCCGGGCCAGACCAGGGGCTGCGCTTCAGGGAGCAGAGCCGGGCGGCTGCGCATGCAGGGCAGAGCCTCGGATGCTGGTGGGCTCCAGGCTGGTTGCTTTAGGTGACGGGAAACCCAGTCAGGTTTTAAAGCTGGGAGCTGCTACAGTAAAAGTGGTTTTTAAACAAAATGTGATGGGAAAAAAAATAAGGGCTCTGAAATTAGAAGCGGGTTCAAATGCTGGCTTCTGCACTCACTAGCCGTGTACCTAACACAGATTAGTTACCCACTCTGGGAATCCAGTTTTCCCAGGCTATAAAAAGGAGATAGCGGGAGAATTCTTGGAAGAGGTGTGTCTTTGGATCTCCCCAAATTCCCAAGAAACTACAGCTGGATCGGAAACACAAACCCCCACACACAATATTCATCAGATAATTAGGTGCCCAGGTATCTTCATAAACCCCTAAATACAAGCAGCCAGGACAAACCACTAAAGCCATGAGGCCTGGACGGTATGAGCATCTGCATGGGAGAGCGCAGAGGAGTGATGGGGTGCCTAACAGAACAGCAGGTAGAAGCCCGCAGACCCATCTGCAGACAGTGGCTGAAAGTAGAAGTTTTGACCATTTCAGCAGAGAATGTGAGTGTCCTGCAGTAAAGCCTCAAAGGGCTGGATTAGTCCAATCCCGTGCACTCTTGAAAATGGCCCACCTGGACTCCCTTCCTGGATGGGGCCCCACATGGAGGAGAAATTGCTTGGAGTAAAATCAAGATTGAGAAGCACAGGGTAACAGAAATGAAGAAAAGAAAACATCCAGATAATCGAGAACTAAGCCAATAAATGCCATCAGCAGGCTGCTACATGAAAACAACAGAAGGGTCTCTGGTATGATTTTTTTTTGTGGGGAGGGTATAGGTCAGTGGTAGAGCGCATGATTAGCATGCACAAGGTCCTGGGTTCAATCTCCTGTACCTCCTCCAAAAAATAAATACATAAAACTTAATCACCTCTTGCCCCCAAAAATTAAAAAAAAATTTTTTAAAGCTACTAGCACAAAGCTTTCTCATAAAATTTCAGGAAAACTGACTTCATATAAAAATTAACAGCAGAAAAATATCAAAGTCAAATCTCATACAAAAGTTACTATTTAGAGAAAGAAGAAAAGGACTAGAAAAACATCCACACACAGTGAAAGAGCATCGGAAAGACACGCCCATGGAACGGGGCAAAACTGCAACGTGCTGTGTTTGTTCTCTACTGACGCGAGACCAGACCGAGCAGCTTAGGACATGTTTGTTATCTGCCAGTTTCCGTGGGCCAGGAGTCCAAGCACAGGTCAGCTGGTCCTCTGCTCAGGGTCTTATGAGGCGGAAATCAAGGTACTGGCTGGGGCTGTGATCTTATCTGAGGCTTAGGGTCTTTCTCCATGCTCACTGCTTGCTAGTGGGATTCAGTTCCTTAGGGTCCTTAAGACCTTTGGCTCCTAGAGTCTGCCTGTTGTTCCCAGCTACTGGCCCTCTCCACAAGGCTGCAGTATGCTTTTTCAAGGACAATAGGAGAGTTCTCTACCTCTTTGAATCTCTCTGATTTTTCTGACTCTGACCTCTAGATTCACATTTAAATAGTCTCCTGATTAGGTCAGGCCCATCCAGAATACTCTCTCTCTTCACTAACTTAAAGCTAACTCATTAGGGATCTGAACTATATCTGAAAAATATTCTAACCTGTGCCATGTAATGTAACCTAATCAGGGGGAACAATATCCCTGTATACTCACAGGTTCTGCCACACTCAAGGGAAGGGGACTATACAAGACATATGGCCATGTGGCCAGACTCTTGGGGGCTATCTTTGAAGGTTATTCCAAAAAAGCTAAAAGATGTCAAGAAAGTGAAACAAGATGAAAAACAACAACACACATCAAAACTGGAAAATCTCAGAAATGAGCTGACAGAAATTTTAAAAAGGACTAGAAATAGAAGAAAAAAACCTTAGAAATGAAGCTTACACTTGAAGAAACACAACAAATAAAGGCAACAATGTCAAAAATAAAAGTAGAAAAGAAGGGAAATTTAAAAATTGAAAAAGGATCAAGAAAAAAGTAAAAAGATCCAACATTGTGACCAATATTGAAGATAGACAAAGACGATCCAACACATGACTAACGGAAGTCCCTGAAGAAGAAAAACAAAGCAAGGGATCAGGACAAATACTAGAAACTATAATTCAAGAAAAACGTTTCTAAAATAACAAAGAATTAAAAACCTATGTGTTGAAAGAGAACATAGTGTATCTGGGAATCCTGACCCACAAAGATCAACCCCAAAGCACACTCTAGTGAAATTACAAACTTTCAGGAAAAAGAAGAAATAAACCTGGAGTCTCTAGATAAGAAAGAGAAAGTGACTTGTAGAGAATTCTGAGTTATCATCAGGCTCTTTAGTAGCAATACTTTATGCAGCAAGAGTAATATACTTGCAATATTCAAGGAAAGATGGAAGCCACAGATTTTATACTGAGCAAAAAGACTTTTACATGTAAAGAGAAACATTCTTATCAGCGTGTAAGAACTCAGGAAATATGATCCCTTTGAAGTCTTTCTAAGGAATCTACCAGAAAATGAGTTTTAGACAATTAAACGTCTGCAAACATCAACATAAGAACTAGTGATGATCATTAGTGTACAGTTACTTGTAAAACTAAGATAAATGGGTGTTAAAAAGGAGAGACTAGAGAATGTGATGACTATATGAAAGTAGTATAATCATAATAAATGGAGAGTTGAGAGAGCAAATGCAGACAGTGTTTTCGATAATCATAATTAATATGGAGCATTAGTACATAGTTCTGAAGCTGTAGTACGTGTAATGTGGCATAAGGCAAAGAATTATGGGAGATTTAAATTCTATCACTGCCCATGTTGCTGAGAACCAGGATTCTCAGTGTGGGAGAAAGAAGGCAGAGATGGAATACAGAAGTGGTTAAGTGAAAATCTTGTTCTCAATTTGAACTCTAAATTCTGTATGAATTCAAGATAGATGAGAGAGAGAGAGAAATCTTAAGGAAGTGCAGATTTATAAATACGTGCCGAAAAGTTCTCTTCATTGATAAAATCTGAATCCAACGAGCAACCACCATGCATGGTCATCCCGAGCCTCCAGGTGATAGCCCTGACATATGGTTTCCCCACTGAAAGGGACCAGAGATTTTAGGAGAAATGGCTGATTCTGGATTGGAGGTAGAAATAGAAGAGTCTGGAACATCTTGATATACCAAACAGCAAGGAATTATCGAAGATTATTAAGGCCATGCTAGAATGACTCAGGAGTTCCCACTGGCCAGAGATCGGACAACTTAAGACCTAATAAAGACAGGAATTGCAGTGGACTGAAACACATGCAAAATGTTTGTCCAAAGACTCATAATCATATTTACATAAAAATTAATTGATCACCTTCAATGACAGTTGACAGGCTACTAATGCATTATCTTGAAGACTGAGCTAACAAAAGGAGACTCCAGCAATTATTCCAACTTCCACACATGGACAGAACAACTGGGCACCCAAATAGTAAACAGAGGGATGACTTCCCTTGTAAATTATTATATTTAGTAAAATTGACTAAACCGTAGAATTACAATACCACTATTTTGCAACCCCAAATGTAGGACGGGACTCAATAAATTATAGCCATTTTTTTCCCCATTCAACTTCTGAGCCACATAAGAGCTGGACAGCCAGCAGAGTGAATCCAAACCACCTTTATTAATAATACTCTGTGATGCTGTGATTTAATAAGAAACATATACATATATTTTAAACACACAGCAATTTTATCGATCCATTACGAAAAACTAAAAGCTACAAGACAACTTGCATCTTCCCCTTGTTCTCCTCAACGTCCAAAGTTAACTTTCTTTTTCCTGCATGCAGCCTCCCTCATGCGTCGTCAAAGCCTGGCACACTTTAATGAAAGACTACTTATTGTTTTTGGCTCAGTCAAGCAGCTTAATTTCCTTCTGGCACTAAAGGTCAAAATTATTCTTCTGGTCAGCCTAATGCAGAGAGAACTGTGTTGATCACATTTTCCAAGGTTAACTTTACCAGTGATTTCTCCTGGAAATAAGATTTAAAATTTTAGTTAAAGGTAAGTTCAAGGGCATACACTTCCAGCTGTAAGATGAATAAGGTCTGAGGAGCTAGTGCAAAACAGGATGACTATTGTCAACAACGCTGGATTGCACAACTGAAATTTGCTAAGAGAGCAGAAGCTGAAAGTTTTCACACACACGATAAACATGAGGCGACGGACTGTGTATTAATTAACCAAATGAGGGAATCCTTTCACAATGTACATGTATATCAAGTAATTATGATGTACATTTTTATTATCTTACAATTTCATTTGTCAACTATGTCTCAATAAAGCTGAAATTAAAAAAAAAAAAGAAATCCACATTTGGAAGTTCCGGCATGGAGGACCAGGGCAGGAAGAATGTCCTGTCAGAAGGGGAGGCGGGAAGCACTGAGCTGGGGCTGCTGCTGGTGGCGGTGACCAAAAAGCAACCCCAAACTGGGAGGTGGGAGGCCGCAAGTGGGAAATGAGGCCCTGTGGGGGTTTTATTCAGCTTTTATTTTTACCGTAATTATAGGCAAATAAAGTTTCCAATCAGTTAAAAAGTCAAATAGTATAAAGACTTAAAAATTGAACAAAGAAATTTTTTAAATCTGTCTGCTCCCAACTTTCTCTAGACAGCAACTACTTCAAATTGTTTTTTTCCCTGATTCTTAGGCTTTGCCTCCATGGGGCATATCTCTGTGGGCGTTTAAGGTTAAGATGCCCTACTTCTCGAACTGATCCAATTCCCAGGGTTGGATATTCAACGATTGTTGAAAGAGGGAAGGATCTGGCACCACAGTCTTTCAAGCGCTAAATGTGGAGACCAGCGAGTTCACATTAGCAAGGCACTTGACAGTTATCTAAACGATGGCGGTTCATTGCTCAAAGCTTTCAGAGCAGGTTTCCCTGGAGCAGACCTGAAACATTAGAGGCAATTTACGGGAAATGTGTTTTTAGAATTCTTTCTGAAAATGCTGATACTTGCGGTAGTATTGTAATACTTAGAATACTATCGGCGGTAGTATTTGCAGTATCTGCCTCGGGAACATCTCTGGGAGACAGTCTTCGAAACACTACACCAAAGCAGGCAAGATGGCACCGTGGGGCTGGGGCAGAGACCCTACCCCGCAAAGTGCTCCGTATCCTTTACAGACTCCCCACAGTGCAGGTGCAGGCTTATTAAAACGCAGACCCTTCCAGGAGGCAGAGATGCTGTTCACGCGGAGCTGATGACGACTTTCAGTGGTCCTTCCGCAGGTTAATTTTAATGGAAGAGAGGGCGTGAGTTCCCGCCGGGATGTCTCTTTCATCTTCCTGGGACCCACAGGTTTCCTGCACTCTCCTTCCTTCCCAGTCCCACAACCCGCTTTGGACGGAACGGGAGAAGCAGTGTTAGCCTGTGCATGTCGTTCAGTGACAGCAGCCAGGGCGACCTTCCCAACCACAGTGCTACACGAATTATGTAAATACTCGTCCATGATTGAAAGCCTCACAACCATCACCCGACATGATTATTTTCGTGTTTTCCTCAAGTCTTGTGCTGAGGTTTTGTCAGCTCCTTTATGCAGCAGCTGCACATTGATTGTTTGCAAGTCGCATCTTTCTTCCCTTTCATTTCCCAGCTGGTCACTGTTACATGAGAAAAGCATTAAGTCTTGAGTATTTATTTTCCAGACAGTCACTTTGTGGCATTACCTTACTAGTTCTAAGCATTTTTTCAGTCGATTTTAATTTGTTTTCTAGGTAGGTGATTATATTATCAAACAAATTCTTGTCTCCTTTTCAATATTTGTCATCCTTGGTCCATTCAGAATTGAATGAGAATGCTTCTCTTGTTTCAGTGATTTTGTTAGGTATTTTTTTTTATTATGTTAAAGAAATAACATTTGATGACTATTTCACTATGGATTTTTTTTTTTAATATCAGGGAAGAATGCTGGATTTTTCTCAGATGAAGACTCTGTAGCCACACTTTGGGGTCAGGTCTCACCAAGCAAGTGGAACATAAAATGCTGTGCGTTGGGAAGACAGAGCTGATACTGCTGCATGAGAAGGGCTGATATTTAAACTTCCAGGAAATTTCAACATTTTATGGGGACAACAGGACAGTGTATCTGAAGTTAGATGATTCTGCATAACCCAGGACTCCTCCAGGTGGGATTAATGCTGTGCCCCTCAGTCCCCACTTACTCCCACCCGTCTTGCTGTCCCTGTGCTTCTGAGTTGTAGGGACGACATTCCCCAGGCCCTCTTGAGTCCCAGCTCTGCACTGGCCTGGCCAGTGGAGGCAATGGAGGTGGAGTAGAGGCTGGAGGCCTGCGGAGGCCAGAGTGTTTCTCACCCTCTTTCTCTGCTTCCTGGGGTGTCCCTGGAAGAAGCTGCATGGACTCCTTGGCTCCACTCCTCAGACGGCTGAGCTACAGTCAGATGGCCTGGTTTGGGGGCTCTTGGCAGGATCACCTCCAATCACCCCTCCTGCATTTGGAGCCCAGCCCTGAAGGAAGCAGCAGCTAGGGTGGGCTTCGTGGGCCTTCCGGCTGTGTGGCTCTGTGGGGACTGTGCTGAGTGTGACGCTCTGTATTAAATTCTCTGGCTTAAACTAGTGCAGGGCCATAAGCTGGTCACCACTGTCTGTGTGGCTGCTGGGGACCCCCGCCCTCCAGCCCGGGTCCCTGACCTCCACGGTCATCTCTCTGTGCACACTTCTCTGCTGGATGTGTGTGAGTCAGCAGTCTTGAGTCCCGATGCCAGGCCCGCTCCTTTCCAGAGCTGCCTGCTTCTCTGACCAGAGGCCTGGGACGGTCCCCCTCCTCCAAGCTCTGTGGCCTGCCGGTTGGCCTGGCGCACAGCTGGGCTTTGGACAGGCCTCTTCACAAAGCGCTTGGCCCAGGAAGAGGTGCCGGGCTTTGCAATGAGTGGACAGGGCCAGCCTTGTCCAGAAGTGCTGATGAATGTGCTGATCACTTAAGTTCTTTTCTCAGCAGTCAGTCTGCTATGCTGGAAGCAAAGCCAAGTCCAGTTTTTCTCTGGGTATCAATCAGTTCTTTTCTCCGGTCCCTGACATTGTCTTTGTCTCCCAGGCCTTTCCTCTACCTCTCTGTTCAGCTGGAGGAAGAATAACCACAACAGTGGATAAGAGCTTGGGTTTAATTCCAGCTCTGCCTCCTACTAACTGGGTGGCCTCGAGCAAGTTACTTAACCTCTCTGTGTCCTACTTTTGCCACCTGTAAAACGGGATTAATAGCAGCACCAACTCTTCCCCAGCTTCGAATCTCTCTTCAACTCCTCACCAACCACCAGACAAAACCCAACCTCGGTATGGAGCACAGAAGCCCCCTTCCTGCCTCCCCACCTCCACAGTGTTTGGAGCACTGGGCTGCTTCCGTGCTAGGCCCCTGGACACCCGCCATCTCACTCAGTTCCCAGCACGGTTGTGCAGGGCAGTATTACTGCCTCTATTTACAGACGAGGAAAGCGAGCTTAGGTGGTCTAGGAGCTTGCCCAAAAGTGAGCAGGAGAGTTGGGTCAGCAGTCTGCAAGACCCCAAAGTCCTTTTGCAGCCTGGTCCCTGATGTCTCCATGTGCTCCAGTTCAAAGTGAACTTATTGCAGTTTCCAGAACATTCCATGCTGTTTCATTCCTGTTTCTTTGCCTACACACTGTTCTCCTCCCCACTGCGTTTAGAGAATTATGAGCAAGCAAATTTGGCAAAAGCAAGTGGTGTGGATGTGAGGGGGTAGGGAGAACAGGCAGGAGGGGTGGAAGTGAGGGATGGAGCGAAGCAATCCAAGCTGCCTCTGGGATTTCTAGAGCAGAGGTGTGGACACGCCCTTGTGCTCTCCATTTCCTGAAGGGGGCGCTGTGGCTTTCTACTTAGGATGCTGACACCAAAACACGCCATTGCAACACTTCAGGCTGAAGTTCAAAAGTGCACACAGCATGTCTGAATCTGATAGACTTAAACTCAGCTTAGCCTGAAACCGAGTGGTTGTCATGGTGATGCATAATGACCACAGTGCCACTGGGAATGGGACTTGACCCACACGTCTTTTTTTCCTTCCCCTACAAAAGACTGCCCTTCAAGACAGGTACCCCTTCAGGCTAGGAGAAGTCAGAACCCTCAGTGTAAGTCACTATCTTCTCAGCTGGGGCCAAGGGAAGAAATGGGAGAGAACCCGCTACCATAGCTGGCCTATGACAAGGGCCTAACAATTAGTTGCAGCGCCCAGACATCCCAGGAGCCTGTGCCCCTGCCCAGGGGCTCAGTTGCAAATCCCAGTCACTGATATTCCTGCTTCACATCCCAAATTCCTGACCCTACCTCAGGTTTGCCTCCTCTGGGGTTTGTCCTCATTCTACCCGAGAGTAGAGCTCTGAAGAAATAGTTCCTAAGATTTCACAAGTCTTCTAGTTTATCCCAACCTTATTATTATTGTTGTTGTTGTTATTATTATTATTATTATTATTATTATTATTAAATTTTACCCTTCCTTCAAGGCTCAACTCCAGTCTTCATGAAACATTCCCAGGACCAAAAATTAATAATAATACTTGTGGAACCAAATGCAGGCCTTCTTCCTCCCTCCCTGATCCCCCATTGCTCTTAGTTTGAATCACATTCATTCATTCAACAAACATTTATTGACCATCTACAGAGTGCCGGGCACTGAACTAGGTTCTGTACACTGAAAAAAACAAACATCTGTTTGCATACAGCAGACACAATCTATAAGTAAATTATGCAGTGTATGAGGAGGTGACATGTGTCAAGGAGAAAAGTGAACAAAGAAGGGAGGTAGGGAGTGCTGGGAAAGGGAGTTTCAGTGTTCAAGGGTGGCCTGGGAAGCACTTGCTGAGTGCACTTGCGTGGTGAGCTGGAGGAAAGGGGAAAGTAGATCAGTGGGATATCAGGGAAAAGGACCCTGCAGGCAGGGGGTAGCCAGTGCAAAGGCCCTGAGGTAGGAAGTCACCTGGCATGTTGGAGCAACAGCTGGGA